CCTTTCTGGAGAACGATTCAATTCTTATGAAGATATCAAAAAATGGCTTGATGAATGGATTGCTTCAAAAGAACCAGATTTTTTCATTCGAGGAATCCGTTTATTACCGGAAAAGTGGGAGAAAGTTGTCGCTTCCGAAGGAGCATACTTTGAATAAACTCACTTATATAGATTTGTTTAAATAAACACATCTTTTTCTTTTCAAAAAGAGTGGAAACTTATTCCCAATATAATTATTCACTTTGTTTGACTCGTTTATTTTTAAATATAATAGAATTTGGCAATCTTGTGTTCAATGATTTACATCGCGGATAATTAATATGTACTTGGATGAATTTCCTCTAATTTGGTGAATACTTCTCGAGACAAACGAAAATTAAATCGTGCCGAAGAATCACTCTTTTGATATAAAGGATGAATTAATAACATCACGTATAATTAGAGTGTTACTAAATAATTATAGAATTATAGTATGTTACGACTTTTTAATTGAAATTAAATTATTTTATCTTTTATTTTTTATGCGGAATTTTTAATGAATGTTTACTGAGGATGGTCTGATTTAAGACTGAAACGTCTAAGAAATTTTGTAAAATTGAAATAATATAAAAATTGTTCGCTACTAATAACAAGCGTTGTGGTTTACTGCCTTTATTATTATATTGTTTGAATATTAACCACGTATTGACCTAATTTGTCATAAAAAGAAAGTTGAACCGAGATTAAAGTTAATCTTACATTGATGGAACCGGACTCTTACATCTAAATAGCTGCATTCAGTAAAGAAGCATTGATCAGTAAGTGAACAGTGAAGATTGATCAGTAAGCGAACAGTGATTCTTTTACCTAATTGGTTCCAGAGATGGGACCCGTTACTTTACCGTTCCTATAATAATAATTTGTTAATGAAATGATACAATTTTTTATGACGAGAACTAAAAGCTAAAACTGAGAAAGTCACTTTTGAAAAGTAACTTGTCATCATGATGCGTTATTTATTAAAAGAAGTAAATCATTAACTTGGAACGCGTTAACTTGTTATTTTAACTTGTTACAATTAAGTAATAAATAAGTTACTTTTTTTAAATAACCAACGCATGATGACAAGTTTAAAAACAACTTTTTCGTAACTTTAGCTTTTAATTAGTTATCGTTACCGTCATAAAAAATTGCAATGTCATTATCAAATCATTGCTATAAAGGATACTAATAAAAGTAACGGCATTGCTTACTTCCCATTCCTGAGATCGGTTCCTATACTTACAATTAGATGCAGCAAAGAATAAAAGGCAAGTACTAATCATAATTGCATTCAGTGCTACAACTAGTACAACTGTTCACTGAGCAGCCTCAAGGTACTGAGATATATACATATACATGGGATGTCTCGGAATTCGCGAATTATAATACCACATTAAGAAAGTTTTAAAAAAATCAAGTAAAAAAAGTTATTTGTAAATTTTTATTTTAGAAATAATTTGTGAAATAATAAGAATTATAAAATAATAGCCAATTACGGAGAATTACATTTATGCCCATTTCTATCAATGTAGATTAACTTTATCTCGGTTCAACTTACTCTTCATCTTTTTCTTATTCTTAAAACTAGAAAAAGATAAAGAGTTAATTAAATCGAGATTAAAGTTAAACTGCATTGATAGAAACGGGCATTAGACGGATAATATTTAAACGCTGAAAGGTGCGCTTACTAATCCTACCGCACGCGCAATTTATAGATGGCAGATGGTCGTCTAAATGTGATCTACAATTGATTATATTTAAACTCTTACGTCTCAGAAACTATTCCTTAAAATAAAACCGTTATACATAACATTTTTACTTAATTTTTCGAAAACTTTTTGCCGTGGTATTTTGATTTACGAATTTCGGGTACTTTATATCTGTCAAATTTTATTTATTTTCAGAAAATTTCTAGAAACATAAATACATCATAACCGTATATATGGTTCTTGTACTGTAGATGCGGCTTGCAGCACGGTAAATGTAGCCGTGTTCAACGCGCACACATAAAGATTAATAATACAATTTATTTGACGATTACAGATCCTTTACATTTGTTTTCAATATTTTAAATTTAATTGAATACAAAGGAAACGTACCAAATGAAAGTGATTTTGAAAAATGCTGTTATTTCCATTTTTTTTTCTTAGATGAGTGCTACGTGGATCACGCGGGTGCAACTCTGTATTCAGAAACGCAGGTCAGGAACGTTGGCGCTAATCTGCATGGTTCTCTCTATGGAAATCCACATTCCATTGGGAATTCACTGACGCACGACATTATTGACCGTATGAGATATCGGTGAGAGATTACAGCTGCATACTGTAGATAAATGAGCGCATATATATTAGGTGTTAAACTTAATTTCTGCCGCGCGCTACTAGAGGGTGCTGGCTCCAACGCTGGCGAGTTTCGACGATGAATATGTCTATTATCTTTTGTAGTTTAGACATCGCTGAAACCAGGGTTGGTAAAAAAAACGTTTTAAACGTGTTTTAAACAGTTTAAAACATGCTTAATTGATGTTTTTAATATGTTTTAAATATGTTTTTTTATAGTACTGTTCAAAGCATATTTGAAGCATTAAAAACATATTCAAGAAGAAACATAATATGTTTTATTCTTTAAAAAAAACATTAGTCTTTACCAACCCTGTGGCTGAAAGTGATTTAACCCTCACAGGTTAGATTTCTCGATGCCAAAGAGATTTTCCAATCGATTGAAAATGAATCGCGATAAGCTGTTTTTCCGACATGTGCTTCTTCACTACTTCGATCTCAAGAAAACCGCA